CTGGCTTCTTTTGTTTAGCATAATGTTTTCAAGGTTCATCCATGTTGTGGAATTTATCAATATTTCATTTCTTTTTATAGCTAAATAACGTTCCATTGTGTAGATATACAAGTTTTCTTTATCCATTCACAAGTTGATGGACATTTGGATTGTTTCCACTTTTTGGCTTTTATGAATAATGCTGCTATGAATATTCACATACAAGTTTTTGTGTGGACGTTTGTTTTCATTTCTCCTAGGTGTACAACTAGGAGGGGAAATCGTGGGTCATCTGCTAACTCTGAGCTTAAGCCTTTGATGAAGTGCCAAACTGTTTTCCAAAGTGGCCACACCATCTTCTATTCCCACTACCGATATACAAGGGTTCCAGTTTCTTCACATCGCTGCCAACACTTGTTCTCATCCATCATTTTTTATTACAGCCATCCTAGTGGGTGTGAAGTGGTATCTCTGGGGCTTTTTAAAATTAATAGATTTTATTTCTTAGAGCGGTTTTAGGGTAACAGGAAAACTGAGCAGAAAGTATAGAATTCTCATATATCCCTTGTCTCCCACCCTTGTACACGGTTTCTCCTCTTATTAATCTTGCATTAGTATGGTACATTTGTTACAATTGAACTAATAATGATACATTATTATTAACTAATGTAACTATAGTTTACATTAAGGTTCGTTCTTCGAGTTGTACAGTCCTTTGGGTTTTGACAAATTCATAATGTCATGTATCCACCATTATAATATCATACAGAATTGTTTCACTACCCTAAAAATCCTATGTGCTCCACCTATTCATCCCTCCCTTCCTCCTCCCAAACCCCTGGCAACTGCTGATCTTCTTACTGTCTTCATAGTTTTGCCTTTTCTAGAATGTCATATAGTTGGAATCATACAGTATGTAGGTAGCCCTTTCAAAATGGCTTCTTCAGTTAGCAGTATGTGCTTAAGATCCTCCATGTTTTTTCATGCCTTGACAGCTCATTTCCTCTTATTGCAGAATAATATTCCATTGTCTGGATGTACCACAGTCTGTTCATCCAGTCACCTATTGAATGACATCTTGGGTGCTTCCTAGTCTGGGCATAAATGAAGCTGTTATAAACATTCATGTGCACGTTTTTATGTGGACATAAGATTTCAGCTCATTTGAGTAAATACCTGGGAGCGCTACTGCTGGATCATATGGTAGGACTAAGTGCTTTGCAAGAAACTGCCAAACTGTCTTCCAAAGTGGCTGCACCATTTTGTATTCCCACCTCCAATAAATGAGAGTTTCTGTTGCTCTTCATCCTCACCAACATTTGGTATTGTCAGTGTTTTGGATTTTAGCCATTTAAAGAGATCTGTAGTGGTATTTCATTGTTTTAATTTGCATTTCTCAAATGATGTATGATGCTGAGCGTTTTTTCAGATGTTTATTTCTCAGCTTTATATCTTCTTTGGTGAGGTGTCTGTTCAGATAGATCTTTTGCCTATTAAAAAAATTGGGTTGTTTGTTTTCTAATTGATGAGTTTTAATGGGTCTTTGTATATTTGAATACAAATCTGTTATCGGATATGTTTTGCAGACATTTTCTCCCACCTGTGGCCAGTTCTTTCATTCTCTTAATAGTCTTTCACAGAACAGAAATTTTTAAGTTTAATGTAGTCCATCATATTAACTTTTATTTAATGGATTGTGCTTTTGATGTTGTATCTAAAAAGCCCGGGTTACCTAGATTTACTTCTACACTTGATCTCAGCCAAAAGGCCAAGAAGAAATACCTAGATTTACTTCTGTGTTATCTTCTAGGAGTTTTATAGCTTTGCATTTTACATTTAGGTCTGTGATCCATTTAGGGTTAATTTTTGTGAAAGGTGCAAGGTCTGTATCTAGATTGATTATTTTGTGTATGTATGTCCAGTTATTCCAGCACCATTTTTTGAAAAGATTGTTTCTCTGCTGAATTGCATTTGCTCCTTTGTCAAAGATAAGTTGAATATATTCATCTGGGTTTATTTTCTGGGATCTCTATTTTGTTTTGTTGATCTACTTGTCTATTCTTCCACCAATACCATACTGTCTTTATTACTATAGCTTTATGGTAAGTTTTGAAGTTGAGTACTGTCAGTCCCCCAACTTTGTTCTTCGTCAATATTTTGTTGGCAATTATGGGTCTTTTCCGTTTCCATATGAACTTTAGAATCAGTTTTTTTTTAATTATTTTTTTTCTTTTGAGGAAGATTAGCCCTGAGCTAACATCCACTGCCAACCCTCCTATTTTTTGCTGAGGAAGATTGGCCCTGAGCTAACATCCATGCCCATCTTCCTCTATTTTATATGTGGGACAGTACCACAGAATGGCCTGATAAGTGAAGCATAGGTCCATGCCTGGGATCCAAACGGGTGAACCCTAGGCTGCTAACATGGAGCACACAAACTTAACCGCTACACCACCAGGCCGGTCCCTAGAATCCGTGTTTTGATAGCCACAAAACTTGTTGAGATTTTGTTGAATCTATAGATTAAGTGGAGAAGAACTGATATCTTGGCAATATTGAGTCTACCTATCAACAAACTTGGAATTCTCTCCATTAATTTAGATCTTTTTTTGAATACTTTCATCAAAGTTTTGTAGTTTTATAGATCTTGCATGTATTTTATTATATTTATAACTAAGTATTTCTTTTCCCCTTCTTTGATGCTGATATAAATGGTGTTGTATTTTTTTTTTAAGATTGGCACCTGAGCTAACAACTGTTGCCAATCTTCTTCTTCTTTTTTTTTTTTTCTGCTTTTTCTCCCTCAAATCCCCCCAGTACGTAGTTGTATATCTTTTAGTTTGGGTCCTTCTAGTTGTGGCATGTGGGACACTGCCTCACCATGGCCTGATGAGTGATGCCATGTCCGTGCCCAGGATCTGAACCGGCGAAACCCTGGGCTGCCGAAGCAGAGCGTGCGAACTTAACCACTCTGCCACGGGGCCAGCCCCTGTATTTTTAATTTCAAAATACAATTGTTCATTGCTAGTATATAGGAAAGCAATTGACTTATTTATATTAACCTTGTATCCTACAACCTTGCTAGAATCACTCATCAGTTCTGTGAGTTTTTTTTTGTTGGAAGCATGTTAATGCTCTATTTTTTTTTTTAATCAGTAAGAATGAAAAGAAAAAACCCCTTAAAACTGTAATTAAACTGAACAAATGAACCCAGTTGTATTGCAAATGAATAACATAACACAGAAGAACATAAAAGGAGCTAATCTAAGTAACTGCTAAACATGTCATTTGACTCTATACACTTGGTTGAGTAGGTGGGGAACAACCACAGACAAATCCTGAGCTCTTTTTAGATTTGTTTATTGTAGTTGTGTGAGTGAAGCCATGTGAAATGATTTGGGGTATATGGTAAAACTGAGTGAATAAATATGTTGATGTTGTTGGGAGCCGGGGTTCCCACTGGGGAAGAAGGCAGATATAGCTATGGACTGGGGCCAAGCAAGGAAAAAGGACCCTATGCGAGTGCACTTGACTTGGAGATATTAGCATAAACTCATGATTCTAATATGTTTTATACACACATTCACACACATACATATATGTGAATGTGTGTGCATATATATATATATGTATTCCTAACTGTCGGCTGAAAAGACCTAGAAACAAATATACCCCAATGAGCACATCTGGCACCCACATCTTGGTTTCTAATACAGTTTCCCAACTAAAAGGAATCTGGGCTTCCTGTAAAAATGGCTGGTTCCAGGGCTGGGGCAGGAAAGGTAAAGGTGAGCCTGGAACAACATTTATGCCAGAAATTGAAGAAGTGCTAAAAAAAAAAACAAGTTATGGCATGTCAAAAGGACACAGGAGTCAGCTTAAGGGACTCCCAGTCACCAAAGCTGGGATGATTTGAACATCAAGATAACTAAGGACAATAATAAATTATAAACCATTGAAAAATAGGAATCCTGTTGCCATGAAAGACAAAGGCTGAGGAACTGTACCAGATTAAAGGAAATTAAAGAAACATGATGACTAAAAGCAATATGTGGTTCTGAACTGGATCTGTAGTGAAGGAAAAAATATGCTGGAAAGGACATCACCAAGTCATTTGACATAGTTGGAGTACAGATGGTAGATCACAGTATTGTACTGAAGTTGCTAAGTCTACTGTGGCTATTTAATGGAATCTTCTTGGTTTTAGGAAATACACTTTGAATTACTTAGGGATAATGGGGCATGATATATGAAGCTTACTCTCAAATGGTTCAGAAACACAATTTGTATGTATTACGTGTGTGTATGTATATGTATGCATGCACTACTCAGTGTGAACGCAAATAATAAATTAAATGAGGCAAAAAGTTAACAACTGGTGAATCTGGGTAAAGAGTATACAAGGTTTCTTTATACTATTCTTGCAACTTTTCAAGCTTGGAATTATTCCAAAAAAAAGATTTTTAAAAGGTTGGTGTTTGGCATGCACAAAAAATTAAGGGTAATAGAGCAGACTTCTGAAAGCAGAAGGTATGATAACGTCAAATATTTTGAGGGACTGTCATGTGGAAGAAGGATTAAGACTTCGAATTCGGCTAATCTTATTTTGTGTCAGCCTGCTGTGTGTAATATCATTACAGCACATCCAAGAGCTCATGCCTAGAATGAGAGGTAGGAGTTCTTTAAGCTTTATAGAGTCTTCAGTATCATGCAGTACAGAGAGGTGTAAAGTCCCAGGATTCTAAGAATTCATTATGTAGAGGACATGAGTGAAGGGGCCTGGGTGTAGGAAAATGGGAAACAGGAACTGGTGGGGACTTGAGAGCAATGTCTTCTCCAAAAGGCTTTCAGTGCCATTAAAGACAAAACCCAAAGCCTGTGTAGGAATCCAGTGGGCTGTGTCTGGCCTGGGGAGTGCCAGTTGTGACCCCTGATCTTACTAATCCTCTTCTTTTTTAGGCGGGGAAACAGGTACCAAAAGTCACGAAGCAGTGTGTAAGATAATGAAAGGTGTAAATGTGTGCGTATATATCAAAAACACACCATTTTTAATGAAAGAAATTAATATCCACACATTTGTACTTCTGTACAATTTTGGGTAATATATAATTTTAAGCTGTTTACAAATAACATGTAATGCTTCAAATATTACATAATGTTGATAATACATTTCTAGCAGAAATAAATATATTGCACTTAAAAAGAACTTCATTAGATGTTACTTCATAGTATTAGGCTTATAACTTCTTTTCTCATAAAACATTTCCCATGCCCTTCCCCCCACCCCCCAACACACACACTTCATTACAGTGACTGTTCTCACGCAATTCATTAAGCAAATGACACAGCAAACAGTAGATGTGTGAGAGAGCCCACTAAGGAGGCCACATCCAATTTTATCCTTTAGGAAATAAAAGACCTTCTTCTAGGTTTCTGAAAATAAGAAAAAGCAACAACTAAATACAGTATTGCAATGTACCAGAAGTAAAATACAACAAATTGTATTTTTTGTCCAGATGTATTATATCACCAAAATGTTTTTATTTTCTTATATCAAAGGAGGGGATTGGAATCCAGGGAGGAACAGAGAAAGAAGGGCCACAAAATACTTATGGATCATTTGCCTATCAAATATTTATAAATGAACTGTTCCATATTTAAGCATGCTGAAGAAAGATAAGTATTGCCATATTTTATAACTGGCATGGAATATGAAGAAAGGATTTTATGGTTTTCTAAAGGTTTAAGAGTTTGTAACCTTCCCTTTGCTTGTTTACATAAAATCCTTGCATTCTGAAATAATACAAAAACATATAAAATCCATCCTCCACCCAAGCCGGGCTCTATAAAGGAGCCAACTGAAAATCTTTTCTGCCCAGTGCTTTATTTCTGTCTAGTCTAGATTTAGGGTATATTATTGTTTTATTTGTAATAATTATCAATTCCATACACACTTAAAATGAAAACAGTTTTCTTTGCTTAGTCAATGGAAGATTGAGTAAAAAGAATGCTTTTCTTGCAACATGTGTCCCTGTATATTACATACTGAATTTTTTGAACTTTAGATGCTGAGTCATGGCTAAGCATGACTGCATATTTAATAGGGTGGTAAAGTCACTCCACCCATTTTATTTGAAGTTTATTTTTCTCAGTATATAATTCAGCTTAAATATAAGCAGGACAGCCTGAAAAGCTAAAATGAAATTCAGAAATGGGATAAATATCCTAACATCTCTCGGAAAAAATCACTGACATTATGGGAATGGGGATCCTTTTCTTTAAGAATTCTTTTGTCTTTGGCTTTTAGAGGGTTCCCTTTTTATTTTTTTGACGGGGGAATGTTGTGGCTGGAGAAGTACAATGACTGAGATGTGGATGGGGTGGGGGGGGCGGGGTCTTGGAATACCAATATAAGATGTCAATGTAACTCCTACAGTATAACCCTACATAGGCTTTTGCTAGATGATAAGTATAAGAAAACTTAATATCTCCTACTCTGTGCCCTCCTACTAAGAATGGAGGTAGGCCTTCCAGATAATGTATCATTGTTATAAACTCAAAAGGACCAGCAATGCAATATAAATTCATTAATGTAGATCTTGTTACCTAACAATTTGTGATATGTTACACACAAGCTAGATATGTTTATGCTGCTAAGGGTGGACAGAAGAGAGAGGAAGATTTACTTTACTTTTAAAGTAAATTTCAAGCAAGTAAAAGAAATAATTGAACTTAGAATTATTGATAAATGTTTTAAAAATAAATCACATATGCAAAACCTATTAAGTTATGAATTAATTCTTTTGGGTTAGATAAAGCAGTTCTGGCAGCAGTGGCTCTTTTTAGCAGCACTGCATGTTAGCCGTGCTTTTTGATCCTGTAATACACCTGGGGGGAAACCCTGAACTTATTCCAAGTATATTATAACTCATACTCTTTATTATTCCATTGGCTTTCCCACTAATTATCTAGTTCTTGCAATTACTTTTGGTAGAATAGACTTTAGACTTTTAAATCTGAAATACCCAAGGAGTTACGTAAGAATCAACAACCAGAATAGCTCAGAAAGGCCCACGCAGGGTAAATATCTACTCCTGGTTCCCACGGCTAGAGTGACTCTGATCAGTTGAAGCTCCATATCACTTGTACTTTTTCTTTCTGGTTCAAATAATAACAAATACTTAAAAAATATATCCAATTTAGAATTTCAGGTGTGATTTTTCCAAGAGCACTCTTTGATACCTTAGTCTTTGCTTTTCTCTAACCACTCTACTTTTTTTTAGTTTTATATTGCTTAGTTACAAAATAAAAGTTATGAAGTCAAGAAATACTGGTGTAAAATCATATTTAACAAAAACATACAAACCTACTTTGAGACACACCAATTGGGGAAAATGTCAAAATAGTATTAAAATGTTCCTTTCATTCTCATTGGAAAGAAAACTGAGATACAGATTCACTTCAGCAGACCAGTAATTTACCAGGGTATTCAATAGCATCATGTAAAATTGCATCTACTTTTGTTATTCCTGCTTTAAGCAGAAGGACTCTGTACTAAAAGGAGCACTGGCAACAGGCCAACTATTAAATCAGCATCCTAAGGTCTATGGATACTTAAGCATTACTCATAACTGCTTTTTTAAAGAAAAGCACATCTGTGCTGTGTTGGAAAACAAACTACCTGTGGATACTATAGAATAACATGGAGAAAGATAGGAATTAGCCTACAGTGTCTGCCATAGGAGTTTGAGATGCTTGGTTAACATAGCCCATGCTTCTCCAGAAGTACCCTTTGGGATACAGGGGAGAAAGGCAAGTGCAGAATAATCCAACAACGGCATCATGTAGACAGGCTGTGCCATTATGCCTTGTTTCACAGGCTGGGCGTGCCGAAGAAAGGCATTTGATATGGAAAAGCCTACCATTAAAACAACCAAATAAAATCCCACTGGAGTCTGATATGATAAGCATATTGCATTTACTCCCAAACACACCTCTACTCTCAGCAGTGGTAGTTCCCATCTCTTTTAAGATTCAATACTTTTGCAGTCAGAACAGAGTAGAATGAATATTATATACAAAATTTAAATTAAATTAAAATAGAGTTTTGGGGAGCCTTGTGAAGAAGACAGGTTATATCCTGTAGCTAGAATACATTATATCTAAAGTTGAAGGACCATAAACTTCATTAAATTTCTGTTATTAGGGAAATAAACTTGCAAAATGCCAAATGTTCTACCCTGACTGTAAATGTTTAGATATATGTTGCCCAAAAATAATATACAGATTATATATAACTAAAATATCATTAATACTATACTAAACATTAAAGGAAGGCGTGAGAAGACAGCAAGAGCTGAAAATAAAGTGGATGACTGCTTTAGACTTATTTATAAGCACTGCCAATGTTTCAGCTGGGGAGTCACTGAATTAACATGAAATTTCATGTAATGGGCTAGAAAAGTGGTAAAGGAGTCACTGAATGTAACACAGTAAGAAAAAAGGACAAATCAGATATATGGACACATAACTTCTCATGAACATAGGTTAAATGATGGCTCTGTGGGCATTCAGAATGGTCATTCACAAATCCTTGTCAGTCAGTGGCAGCAGCTAATCTAAGAACAAAGCGGATTTATTGAAAAGGAGAATTTGGCCTGGTACATTTAAACATCCATGAGGTCTCCCAAAGCTGAAGTAAAACTGAAGGGGCCTTTGGCACCCGTGGCAGAGAAATTCCTTTCACAATAGGGCAACCATCTTTTTATTGCAGCTGTAAGTAGAAGAAAGCCTCTGCGTCACCATGTAGAGGCTTTACCTTCCTCAGTGAGTAAGTCAGTAGTGTATTTAGAATGCAGCCCAGAAAACTAAAACCTCAGTTTTGCCATATAACACACAAAACCTCTTGCTTCAAAATTGTATATAGAAGATTTTTCCTACATAAGTGACAAGTAGTCGCAAGAAAGAGAATTAGGAAGAAAGAAGACAAGCCTGTGAAAAAGAGCTTGTCAGGTACTGGCCCTTCAGTATTACAAAAAGAACTTTGTGAAGTCATTACCACCTATTCATCCACAAAATAGGATGTATGGGCATTATCTCAGCTCCTTCCCCAGCAAACTAACACAAAGGAAAACTAAACATGCTTAGGCTACAGCACTACAAATATTTCTCTATTGGCTCTCATTTTCTACAAGGAGAAATGGACTTAAGTTAGTCGTTATGCATTATGGTAAGTATGTTATACAGTATTGCCTCTTTGAAGGTTTTTTTAACCTGTGGAAAGCAGAAAGAAAATCTATACATGTTGATTTTATACATTACTGCATCAACACAGCATTTTTAATCACTAGGAATGATGCACCTTAAGATTCATCTGCCTTGTATTATTAAACTTTCTGGGTAAATTGATATCCTATTAATTGTAGGACTTTGGCTGCCTAAGAACTTTACACTGATTCTTTCTCGAACCCAAGAGCTGTCCCCCAACTACAGATGAATCCTGGTCCATGGTACATTCCCTCAGTGGCAGGTTTTACTGTGAGTCCAGCTCTCCTCTGTAATAGGTCCCATGTCTCCTGGAGAGCCCCTGCTCCAACACCCCACATCCCACCCACCCGACCCTGTCCTATATTTCCATACCCATTTGCACATTCTGGATTTGGATTCTCCTGTTTTTAGAAGAGTCATACAAATGGTGTCATCACAGCCGAGGAATGGCGCAGTCCTTGGATAGCAGCATAGGGCCCCTGCTGAAAGTAGTGATGGTACCGAGGCATGTGGAATGAGGGGAATGTTGGGCCACTGCCCTGCATGGAGCTGGCAATGGCTGATGGGGTCAGAGGCATCCCAAGTCGGCTATATGGTGGCAGAGAACCCTGTATGGGGTGAGGAATGGGTGTTGCTATGGATGCTGTGCTGGTGCCAAGAGCAGTCAGGGACTGTGGGTGCTGAAATCCAGGAAAACTGGATGAAGATGATACCCAGGAACTGAGAGACAAATTATCAGATGTTGTAAAGGCTGACCCTGAAAGGAAAAACAACTCATTAGGCTGGAAACTCTCTTTCAATGTGGAAATCAAGAATTACATTATCCGTAAGGATTAATTTATTTTTAAAAATATATAATAGATCTGCAATTTAAAAAGACAAACATGTCAACCACGAGGCAAATCTACCTTTCTAGATAAGAAGACATCATTTAAATCATATATGGAAGAGAGAATTTACTAAATAGAGAAAGACTTAACTTGTTAGGTGGCCTGTGTACCCCCAGAGAGCACTAGTACCCTGCCTGAAGGCAGTCACCTGATTCCCTTTAAAGGAGCTCCAAATTGCGGATATCTTTGCTAATCTCTGCAGCATCCCTGTAAGGAAGGCTGGACATACCAGCCTCAACAAAGCTACTCGGTTTCCAAAGCCATTGTGAGAACCCACAAGAGTGCTTTTCTTTTCCTTTTTTTTTTTTTTTTAGCTTCCATAATTCTTTATTAAATATTTGACAAGTTGCAAAAGTTTTTTTTTACATCACAGCATCTGGAAGTTTAAACAAGAGTTGACACTGAACTTTCCAAATGTATAATTACTAGTAACTCATTTACATTAGTTATAAGAGATGTCCTATCTTTTGACTGATTATGCTATTCCATATTATGGACGTAAAAATATGACAGAGGGCTCTTTGCCCATTGGAACATCCCTGTGCCCAGGATTGGGCACCCTCTGGTCTCTTTTTCTCTGGACTCCCAGGTGCAGAGGGCTCCTCCCTGAGCCTTTATGACAAAGGAACTTTTCAGTACTGCCCTGTTCTCACCACTGGGGCCACCATCTCTACGTAATGCCCTTCACTAGAAGAATCTTCTTTTTAAAAGTGTTTTCTGTTTCAGTTATTGATCCTAATAAGATATTCCTGATGTAAGTGGAACAGATATATTCACTGACTTTCAGATTATAAAACTGAGGTTCAGAAAGACTAAGGAACTGCCCCCTAAGTCCAACAGCTCTTTGGTAGTGGATCACAGACAAGTAACTCCTGAGCCCTGACTCAGAGGCTTGATGTCCTTTTACTATAAAACAAACCCCAAGAAACCTTCAGTAGGCAGAATCACTTAAGACTCAAAGGCAAAATAATGAACTGTGTGAAAATCAGCCTCAGGGGCTGTGCTTTCCTGAAGAGGCTCCTGAAATACTTTTGGGGCAATGGGTACCCTGAGGATTAGAAGTCTCTTCTAATCCTGCCTGCCTTCATTCTCCTTTAGGTGCTCTTGCTCCCAGCAACTGCAAAATCCAGAAGCTGCCTTACCTCTGTTTTGTGTTGTCTGAACCTCATCCCCCAGCACATCCTCTTCTCCTCCATAAGTGCGAATGGGTGAGCGGGCATAGGAATGCTTTTGAATCAGGCTCTCCACACTTTCCCTAGGTTAGAGAACGACGCATCTTGAGTAAACTAAGAAGTTAAGTACTCAGAGATGGAGAGGGGTGTAAAAGGTAATTCACTAGTCAGTAAAACTATTTTCTCAGCCAAAAGACCACCACTTCAGGGAAAAATGACATTCGAAACATGTAACTTTATTCCATTGTAGACTCCTCAGAAAGGTGACCTCAGATGTACAAATACAAGCAAACATAACTGGATATGATGGGAACAATTCCCTGAAATCCTGCAAAATGAGGAACAAAGAGGTGGACAAGGAGCTACAACATCTGATCATAGGAATATAGAGTTTAATGATGTGAAAAATGAGTGTGTGATACAACATCTGATCATAGGAATATAGAGTTTAATGATGTGAAAAATGAGTGTGTGAATTAACTATGAGGAGCTGCAATGAATCTTCTGACTTCATCAGCTAATGAGTGCAAAACTACTCAACTGACACAAACTGTGTTGACTCAACATCTGATGAATGTTGGCAAAAAGTTCAAAATATCATTAGTCATAAAAAGATTCAATGTTCACTAACAAACCCAGTAAGTGCACAGAGTATATGACAATATGGGTAGTTTGAATAATGAACACTTTGAGATTCTTGTTACTTTAAGACTGAAAATTATAGAAAACTGTGAAGGACACATAAATGGCCATTACGGAATTTAGGTCCCCAAATAAATTTGTCCATCGTGTTTGTAGATGGTCTTTCTCTTGCAGCATAGCTTAAAAACTAAAGACCGTGGTTAACTTTAAAAACAAAAATTATTTTCGTATTGGCCACTTTGACCTCCGGCTATTAAAAAAAAAAAAGCCAGCAAGAGTTTAGCCAAATAATTTTTTTGCCAAAAGAGCAAGTAACAGGTTAACTTACACAGTATACATCTCCAGAACAGCTGTGGCCTAAAGACGAATACGAATTAACCACCAAAGGACCAAAAAAAGATTAAAAACATTTGTGTTGAATGAAAGACAAAGCAAATACCAAATTTCATATTGAGAGGACAAGGAAAGCAAATAAAGTGTCACGATAACTTTCCAAAATGTAACACTTGTCAACATTTCACATAGATATACAGACTTTACCAGTGAAAAAATACTAATTCATAGTGAATTTGGTGTTCTAGAAAGCTTGTATGTTCACATAGATGAAAGCATTTTGTCATATTACATAGCATGCAAATGAGGACTTAAGGGTATGCCTAAAAGAAAAATAAATTCTAGAAACTATTCAAGTTACATCTTTGCTCCCAAAAGATTTTAAAATAAGCATATAGTACCACCTCATGTACTCAAAATTATTGGAATCAGACAAAATTCAGATCCAATGGATTAACATATAGATGTTAAAAAAATGAGACTATTCCATATTTATTGAAAAGGAATGATCTCCAAGACACAGTAAGTGAAAAAAGTTAAGTACAGAACAGTGTATAAAGATGCCCTTTTTGAATTTAAAACAAGGAGTATTTATGTTCATATATGCCTAATACTTCCAGAATGTTCCAGTTTCCAGAATAAGAAACTGCCTAAAATAGGTTGCCTCTGTAGAGTGGAACCAGAAATCTGAGGGATTGGAGCAGTGATTCCCAAACTTGTCTATACATATGAATCACCTGGGGAATCTTTAAAAAAAAATCCAACAACTACTATATTGAGGTACAGTTAACATACAGTAAGTGGCACATTTAAAATGTACAATTCGATCACTTTTGGCTTATGTGACTGGTGACACCATCACCATAAGTAAGATAACAAACATCTAATACCTCATGCCCCTCATGCTTCCTGGTCCCCATCTCAACAAACTTTCCCAAGGAAACCACTAGTATGATTTCTGTCCCTACCAATTAGTTTGCATTTACTAAAATTTTATAAAAATGAAATTCTATCTTATATATTCTTTATTATCTGGCTTCTTTCACTCAGCATAATTCCTTTGCGATTCATCTTGTTGGAGCACGTATCAATAGTTTATTCTTCCTTATTTTGAGTAGCATTCTACTGTATGAATATATTATAGTTTATCTATTCACCTATTGATGGAATATTTGCCTTCTTTCAAGTTTTTGACTGTTATACGTGAAGCTGCTATACATATTCATGTATACTTTTTGAAAAATAGACATATGCTTTCGCTTCTCTTGGAAAAATGCCTTAGAGTGGAATAACTGGATTGTATGGTAAATGTGTGTTTAATTTTTTAAGAAACTGCCAGATGATTTTCCAAAGCAATTGTACCATTTAGCATTCCCACCATCAGGGTATGAGAGTTCCACTTCCTCCACATTTTTGCCAACACTTGGTATGGCCAATCTTTCTAATTTTAGCTGTTCTAATATATATGTACTGGTATCTAATCATAGTTTTAATTTTCATTTCCCTAATGACTAAGATGTTGAGCATCTTTTTATGTGCTTATTAGCTTCTATATACCTATTTTAGTAAACTGTTCAAATATTTTGTTAATTTTTAAAAGTAGATTCTTTGTTTTCTTATTATTGAGTTTTGAGATTTCTTTATATATTCTGGGTACTGGTCCTTATAGGACATGTGATTTACAAATATTTTCTCCTGGCCTGTGGCTTGTCCTTTGATTCTCTTAACAGTATTTCTAAAAAGCAGAAGTTTTTAATTTTGATGAAGTGCAATTTATCCATTAGTAATTTTATGGATTATGCTTTTGGTTTCATATCTAAAAATCTTTGCCTACTCAGGACCAGAAAAGTTTTCTCTTAAAATTTTTTCTAGAACTTTTAGGTTTTACATTTAGGTCTATGATTCATCTTGAGTTAATTTCAAATATGTTATAAGGAATGAACTGATGTTCATTTTTTGCTATTGGATATCCAGTTATTCTAGCACTGTTTGTTGAGATTACCCCATTTCCACTGAATTATCATTGCATTTTTGTCAAAAGTCAATTGTCCATGTATGTGTGGGCCTACTTCCAGACCCTGTACTCTGTTCTATTGATCTATTAGTTGATCTTGACACCAAAATCACACTGTCCTGATTACTGAAGTTGCATAAAAGTTTTGAAATTAGGTAGTATTAGTACTTCATTTTATTTTTATTTTTCAAAGTTGTTTTGGCTATTCTAGTTCTTTTGCATTTCCACATGTAATTTAGAATTAGTTTGTCAATTTCTACAAAAAAGCCTACTGGTATTTTGATCAAGATTGTGTTAAATCAGTAGATCAATTTGTGGAGAATTGACATCTTAACAAAATTAAGTCTTTCTACCCTTGAACCAGTATATCCCTCCATTTAATTGTCTTCTTTAATTTCTCTGAGCAATGTTTTTGTAGTTTTAACTGTATAGGTCTTACATTTCTTTTGCCAGATTTATCCCTAAATATTTCATGTTATGGTAAATATTGCTTTTTAATTTCAATTTCTGATTGTTCATTGCTAGTACATCGAAATACAACTTATTTTTGTATATTGATTTTGTATCCTGTGACCTTGCTAAACATACTTATTTCTTCCAGTAGCTTTTTGTAGATTTGGATTTTCTACATAGATAATCAAGATGTCTATGAACAGAGATGGTTTTACTTCTTTCTTTCCAATCATGATGACTTTTAGTTATTTTTCCTGATTTATTGCAATGCCTAGAGCTATTTGTTAAATATTGAATTAACAGTGGTAAGAGTGGACATCCATGACTTGTTCTTTATCTTAGAGACAGCATTCAGTCTCTCACCATGAGATATAATATTATCTCTAGGGTTTTTTGTAGATGCCCTTTATCAGACTGGGAGAGTCCCTTCTATTCCTAGTTTTCTGAGTGTTTTTAAAGTTGAATTTTGTTAAATGCTCTTGCTGTATCTATTAAAATGATCATGTTATTTTCTTTTTTAGTTTCTTAATATGGTCAGTTGTATTATTTAAGTTTCAAATGTTAAACCAACCTTGCATTCCTGAGCTAAACTCTAGTCATGATATATTATCCTTCTCTTTGCATTAAGTTTCCTAAAATTTTGTTTAGAATTTTTCCATCTACATTCATGAGGGATGTTGGTCTAGAGTTTTCTTTTTTTGTAATGTCTTCTCTAGTTTTAGTATCAAGATAATACTGATCCCATATAATTAGTTGGAAAGTATTCCCTCCTTTTTAATTCTCTAAAAGAGTTGGGGTAAAATTGTTATTATTTCTTACTTAAATGTTTGGTACAATTCACCAATGAAGTCATCTGGGCCTGGAGTTTTCCTTGTGGAAAGGTTTGTAACTACAAATTAAAAGCTCTCAGATTATCTTTTTTTTTTTTAATGAAATTTTGGTAGTTTGTGTCTTTGGGGAATTTGTTTATTTGATCTAAATTGTTGAAATTATAAGCATAAATTTTCATAATATTCCCTTATTATCCTTCCTTTATTATATGTAGAATCTGTCGTTATATTACTCCTCACATTCCTGAAAATGGTAATTTGTGTTTCTTCTCCTTTTTTCATGATCAGTTTAGCTAGGGATTTGCCATTTTTACTAATCTTCTCTGCTTTTGGTCCCCCTAATTTTCTCTATTGTTTTCCTGTTTTCCATTCCATTGATTTCTGCTCTGATATTTATTATTTCCTTTCTTCTACTTACTTTGGGTTTCATTTGCTCTTTTCCTAGTTTCTTGAGATGGAAGCTGAGCTCATAGATTTGAGACCATTCTTCATTTCTAAAGTAGGTATATAGCATTATAAATTTCCCCTAATGTTTTAGCAGCATCCTGTAAGTTTTCGTATGTTTTATTTTCATTTTAATTTAGTTAAAAATATTTTCTAATTTCCTTTTTGATATCTTCCTTGCTCCATGGGTTATTTAGACATATGTTATTTAGTTTCCAAATATGTGGGAATTTTTCAGATATCTTCCTGTTATTGCTTTTTTATATAATTCCATTTCGGTCAGAGAACATACTCTGTATGACTTGAATACCTTTAAATTTATTAGGACTTGTTTTGTGGCACAGAGTATGGTCTATCTTAGTAAATG